GATGTTCCTCAGAACTTGATTGGTAGACCGCGGATTTTAAAAATAATTAAATCTACATTTTCTCTACTGACTACCCTAAGTTCTCTATTTCGCGTAAAAATCAGTTGTCTATCTATTAGTCTCTCCAATATCGATTCTGTTTAAATTGCGATTCTAACAGCAGCAGCCGGTGAAACAATTTTTGACGACTTGTTACAAGGTGTACAGGTATTGTGCGCAACATGATCGATCAGAGATCGACGCTGCAACCTGGAATAGGCACGCTATACACTATTGCACTCGATCGCGTATTGCAACATTATCCGTACATGCGGCGAGCGTCGGGTTGCAGACCGAAATGCGCGTACGCTTTTAATTAATTCGACTGGTACCAAACAACAACAACGCGTCTCAACAGAATCCCATTCAATCAATTTTCACCGTTTCTCATTAATCTGGTATATTTTCAATAATAATTGACACTCGATACAGACCAGTCAATCATCCAGATTAAGTTCAAGGATCAATACGGACATACAATGAAATTCGAATTGTTCAACATTTATATTAATCAAGCAACAGTTTTACGTGTCGTTACCTCCTCGTTCAAACTTTGATTAACGAAATTACGACCAAGAGTGGAATCTCCTCCTTAGAACTTATGCGGTAGAAATGTGTCGAAAGTGCAGTGAGGTCTGCCTAGATATTGGAAGGTCAATCACGAGACTCGAGCCTCCGCAGAGGACAATGTTATCCACAGACCCGTGCACGTCGATGAGAAGAAGAAGAAGAAGAAGAAGAAGAGCGGTTCGACGAGGCGCGGCGCATCGCGTACGCGCGCGTAGCTCGTGTCCGGTCAGCCGTTAAGAAGGAAGCTCCGGGCCGATGTCGAAGATAAGAACCGGGTACGTGTCCCTCTGTGCGTGGCACATTCTCTCCGGGAGGAGAAGTGGTACCGAAGTTCGGGGACCAACGAGTGTGCCGGGGGCCCCTCACGTAATCCACGGATACGTCGCGACGAATTTGTACGTCTGCCCAATGAGCCAGAAGCCACCCTGCGTTAGCCTTGTTTCGCGTTCACCGTTCGTCTCCTCTTTTCGGACCGTTCCATTATACACGTCCCCTCGCCCACCGGCTGTCCAAGCGTGTACGTGCGCGGACACACACACACACACACGGATTACGTAAGTACACGTGCGAGGGAGAGGAAGCCACCGAAACTGGGCCCGTTCTCTGCCTTCAAAATGGCTACCGTCTCCGCATCGGTGGACACCCGACGTATAACTACGACCGCTCCTCCTCCACCTCGTCCTTGTTCAGTTTTTTCGTCCTGGTGAAACGTGGCATGGATCTTGGTCAGACGTTGATAGGGACGACGGACAGAACGTCGACGTGATTCGTGCATTCGAAGATTCTTCCCTCGATCGAAAAAGAGGTGAGAGCCAGGGTGGAAGACGGCGAAGCCAAGCTCAGAATGCGTAGCATCGTTTTTATTAGGTGTACAATTAGTAGCATCTATCGTTAAGGGTAGGAAACCGAAACGGAACGAAGAGGTGGGAGCGAACGGAGCGGGAGGAGTTAGGTAAGTCGATGAGAGAGGGAGAGAGAAAGGAGAGCACGGAGCTCGTGTTTCCGGCCGGGTGAACAACAATGCCCGCAGACAAATGAGCATCCCGCCTCCATTGTTCGCTTCATCGGTACGGCGCAGCCTCTCTCTACCCTGCTACCCACCCTGGTTCCGCTCAACGCGCCCCCCCGCCCACCGCCGATCCCCGGTGATCGAAGGGTCCACGTCCTCGTCGTCGTCCTCAACCTCGTCCTCGTACCGTCGAACCGTCGCCGAGGCCAGGCTGGGGGGTCCCCGATCAACCTGATGCGGGCCAACACCGATTAAACATCTCTGCTTCGTCGAGTCTTCGTCAACGAGACCCCCTCTCCGCGTTACGTGTCCTGAAGAACGGCGAAGGGCTCTACGGTGCCACTCTCTTTTGTCTCTGCTGTACCAGTTCCACCGTGTCCCTTTTCTATTTTTACCCTCATTGTCCCGGTCCGTGTGCACTCGGCAAAAATAACGCGCGACGATGTATGGATAGACCGAGGACCTCGCCGATTGCCTCCTTTTTCCTCCGTTTATACATAATACCATATCTTGTCTTCCTACCAGTCTCTTTCGCCATTGATTCAATTATACAGGATGGGACCGAAAATCGTAGTACATCCGGGCAGGGGATGATACTATGTTAAAAAAAAGAAAATATTTTGGTATAACATTTTTTCATCCGAGGTTTCGATTTCGTGAAAATCAGCTCCAAAGTTTGTCCAACAATTTCTTCTTTTTTAACGTAGAGTCATCCCCTGTTTGTACTACGATTTCCGGTCCACCCTGTATACCGTTAACATTCCCTGTCGAAACTTCGCCCGTCTACAAAAATATATTTCACCCCGTTTCCACCCTTAGGAACCCCGAAATTCCTTGACGAGTGCCTTGTACTCCGTGCTAGGAAGCTCTCCTCAAAATTTCAAGTAGATCGGCGCGATAGTTTTCACTGAGCACCGATGAGTGAGTCAGTCATCAGTTTTGTAGAAAATATCCTATGCTTCCGGTTGCCCCGTTATTTTCTCGGTTATAACGAAACGTGGAAGTAAATGGGGAGGGAGGATCGATAAATGGCGAAAAACCGGCAGGAGGGTGAGCGATCGCCAGTGGTTACTGTTTATTAAAAAACCAACGAGCCGTTTCATCGCTAAGTTAATCGATACGGTCAACTCCTGCGCGCCGGTTTAGATAAAATCGAATAACACCCGGTGCCGTTCCATCTAATAAATCGTCGAGAATTGTTTAAACCAAATCGTATGAATTATACAGGTATTTCGATTACAATCGCGACGCTGTTTGGATAATAACATGAAAATGAAAATACCGAAATGCAACGGGATTCCTTCAACAATTTCAGTTATAATTACCTGCGTTCGTTTCGGAAGTAACGGTATACGCAATGAAATTTTACTTCAGCTAATTAAAACTATTTACCTTCTATTAATCAGCATAATTAATTTCAGAGGTCTCATTTAAATTCTTGAAATATTTCAAATAATTAACAAGATTTATTTTATAATTGTGTTCGATCGCATATTAGATCGAACGTGTAATATGAAAATGATTTCTTTCGCATGCGTTTATCAGACTGACGGTGTGCGGTCAACCGGCACGAAGTTTCGGATGAACTGACAATAAGAAGGTAACGCGAGAGACTCAAAGGGCCAGATGTTGTGCAAGGATTCGGCATCTTCGGGGCCCATTCATGGCTCCCGTAGCAGGGCACCTTACTCGAATCGAACAACGTCGACGTCCTGCACCACAGAAATTCGATACCGCTCGAAACTTTGCCCCGCACGTAATACCTCGTACGCATACATACACATATTCCACTTTGTTCCAGTTTCTAAATCTATCACTTTATAAAACGCGTTTCATACAATTTATATTATTCGTATGCTACGTGCACCGAGGAGATACAATTACAGAATAGTAACGCCTGTGTAATTGTTGGGACAGAGAATGGGGCCCAATGGGGCTTAAAACACAATTGGTAATTTGTAGCTGATAGCTAGAGGTACAAATTCTGTCTGAAACATTTTTCGCTGGCACAAAAAACAGTTTTTACAATAAACAATTTTATTTA